CTGTTATCTCAAAGTATTCATCAAAGAGGGGAAAGCTTAAATTTAAAAAAAAAAAGACAGTGCAAAAAATGCATGACTGCTGTAAGAGTTTAATTGTAAGACAAAAAGCACTACTACATTATAATGTGAACATAAGTAATCTTTCAGAAAAGAAAATTTAGGGCAAATTGAAACTCCATTAAAGCCCACTATAATCTTCAAATGAAGACTCTAGAAGTGGGTGTCTAGAACTGGGAACACTTGATTCCAACAGATTTGCTTGGGGAGAATGTCTTAAAAATGTTAAATGGTACAGAGAACATCATAATGTTAGTTTAAGATCAAGTCAACCAGATGCTTTAAGAAAAAAGCTATCAACAGACATGCTGATAGGTCTTAATACATAAAACTAATTAGTACTAACATGCTTTATATATCAATGATTGTAGAAGCAATTTACAAATTTCTGAGCATTTCAAAGTTTTCTTTACTGCCTTAGCCAGTCTCTTAACTATGCTGTGATACTCAAAAAGCCATCTTCCAATTTTTATTTTAAAGAATTCCACTGTACCAGCCTGAGACGGCCAAGTGTTTTCCATAAAATGTGATTAAGCCTATGTAATTCAAATTCACCCATACAACAAAATAGGCAATTAAATAATTCCTTTGCTTAAGTGCTTATTCAAAGCATAGCTTTCATGACGTATTAAATGTCACACTTAGGTACTAGTATTAACAGATCTCTTCAGTTTCTTCCAATTATTAGTACTGATTTGGACTACTATAACAAGAACACTTTGCTCTTAGGATTTAATCCCTATGAAACATTTCACCCATAGTATAATTTTTGTGGGTCCTTTTCCAGTGCCCTTACAAGAGCACTCTTCTGTCCCCCAAGATTCCCTGCCTTTACAGGGCTTACTGAGGAAAACTCACTAACATTTAGCAATACCTTACTGCTCTGGCTCCCTAAATTACAGTCCTCTGGATCCCACATTCTTTACCTAAGGTTACTATAGCCATTTATAATGGGAGGCTGCTGGAATTACATCCTTCTTAAGAATCTAAAATTTGCTAAGAGAAATAGGGCAATATACAACTAGGCCAACTCCTCAAGAAAACAATAGCAAAAATGAATTTCAAAGTTGCTGATTACCAATTCATGATGCAATGGATGATTTGAGATCAGTGACAAACCAGATTGCAGGCAATAAGTGGGTGCATTTTTGTAGAGAGTTTTAAAAACCAATTTAAAAAAACAACTGAAGTCATCCTGTTCCCAGCCGGCAGCCACTCCCATAGCTCCCCATCTCCCCATTGGTACACCACTATTGCTGTCATCTTGCACATTCAACTTGTTAGAATTCTTCTATTTTTTTTTCTTTCAAACTCTATTTAGGGTCCATGAATAAAATACAGGACAGGTGTTAAGTTTTATGAAACATGAACCTTTACTAAGCTTTACTCATGAGATGAAAGTAACAACAAAAATGCCTTAAGAAACAGCACTTTTAACTCTCACTGTATCTTAAAAGCAATGGTCCTTAAAACTGGTGTAGCTAAGATCACTTGGGGCGTGTGAAATACAGAATCCCAGGCAACAACCCCAAACAATTCTGATTTATTAGTTGAGTAACTCTGATGTAGATGGACTGTAGGCCTCTTTGAAATGCCAAGCATCATAATTAACCCTTCTCTGATTTACCAGATTACAGGCTACTGATAGCAATTAACAGGACAGGCAGAGTCAATTAGCAGAGCTGGATATCGTTTGGCTAGATGACATTTTACCCATGAAAATTCTGAGGCTAGACTCCTAAATCATGCTAAGTAATATCTGAATATGGTTAATAGTGAAGAAAGGATAAAACAGGCACCCTTTCTCAACCTTGTCAAAAGTAGGTGGTAGAAATTACCTTCTATGAATAATTTGGGGCCATTCTTAAATGTTTAAGTGCACTGAGAAATTGCATTATTAAGTAAACTCCAAAAAATTTTTACTTTATTAAGATGTGTCAGTTTTTTATGCGAGGATGTATATTTTGACATTCCAGGTTAAACTGGCCCCGAACAAAGGAACTTCATTATGTATTTCAGGATCAACACAAACACTGTGTGGACAGCGAGTTCAGTCCTGGTTTTTACAAATTAATACCTGAAGGTCTTAAACATGCTGTTCTTACAGTTGATAAAACTCTTAAGTACTTTTAAACTACAAGGTAGTCATAACAACTTCAAATAAAACTTTTCCAAGCAGTAAAATAAAAGTACACAGACTAAATGAGTTTCTAAAGTACAGAACACAAAGGACTAATAATGGGATGCTAAAATTATCTCATTAATTGACACTTGGACAGGTGTTCCACACATACACTACTCTTGTGTACAACTAAGTACAATAAAGCAACTGTCATCCCACTGAAGTAAACGTAGTATCGTTAACAAGACTTGCAACCTAGTTATTAGCACATATTGAAGGTTAGGAAAGGAACGAGGAGGAGGAAACCCAGAACCTGAGGAAGACAGATTAACTCACCTGATAGCAGACATCTCTAATAAACCAAAAGGTATTAAAATTTGAACTTAGGACAACAAATCTAGAAAGCTCATATATTACTTGAGAAAAAGGGAGAACGGTAGTCCTAACAAGAGTTACAAAACTGATAGCATACTGCTATTAAAACTGCGTAGATGTTGATTCTATAATGAACTAGCATATTACAAACTTTACTTCATTGGCTAAATACATAAGGGTACTGAGCCACTTCGGAGTATTTTAACTTACCTTCCTCTTTCCATGCCCCAACTCTCCTACTACCACCATCCACACACAAAAATAACGCTGGTTAAAAAAAAAAAGACAACACTCCAGCCCTTTCTGATATTCTACTAGAAACCATGGTAATTTTATTTAAAAGAGGGAAGAGGACATAAAAACCTGAAGGACAAAGAACAGGAGAGGAGACAACAGCACAAAATTTCAGAAACTGCAAAGCATATGAACAAATGATAACTAAGCAGACTTTAGAAGAGTTTATCTTCTGTCAGCAATGAGAATATCTAAGACTCCACCACAGAACTCCCCCGACCCTACAAAGGCTTAGTAATTGACAGTCCAGGTACCTCTAAAAATAGAGAGGTAAATGGTATTAAAAGAGGATTTGGTTGAAGGTCTGTTTGACAGATTTTCCCAGATCCTCTCTGTACTGCTGGACAACTAACCTTCCAGGCAGAAGAATGGAGATTCAATCTCTGAAGATGTTAAGATAGAGTGGTCTTTGGACCGAATAGCCATAGTGATGAAAATAAAGGAATTAAAGTACTTTAGTTGAGCTGTCTCAGCCTTCTTTCCCCCAGTGGGATCCCGTAACACTGACAGGCAGGTTTTTACTTTTAAGGCAGGAGTAAAAGAGACTTCTCTAGAGAACCTGACCAGCCCAAGAGAAAAAAAAAAAAAAAAACCCTAGGGATATATCAAGGGGTTCCTCAATAAAATTACACAGCCAGATCACCCAACAACTAACCTCATAGTTGACAAGCCTCTCCTAGTTCACATACATCTGAAACTTCCAATCAGCTTTAAAATGCTCCATGAACTGCTCATCAAACATTTGAGGGAAATCTCTAACACGAAAGCCAGACTCCCAACAACAGGAGAGAAAAGCAATCGGAGGAAGCAGTTTTTTAAAGTTGTTGCTGTTGTTAGGTGCCATAGAGTTGGTTCCAACTCATAGGTCTTATGTGCAATAGAACACAACATTGCCCAGTCCTGCACCATCCTCACAATTGTTGCTATGTTTGAGCCCATTGTTGCAGCCACTGTGTCAATCCATCTCATTGAGGGTCTTCCTCTTTTTCACTGACCCTTTACTTTACCAAGCATGATGTCCTCCAGGGACTGTCCCTCCTTATAACATGTCCAAAGTATGTGTGAGAAAGTCTCGCCATCCTCGCTTCTAAGGAGCATTCTGGCTGTACTTCCTCCAAGATAGATTTGTTCGTTCTTCTGGCAGTCCATGGTATATTCAATACTCTTTGCCAACACCATAATCCAAAGGCATCAATTCTTCTTTGGTTTCCCTTATTCTTTATCCAGCTTTCACATGCTAATGAGGTAACAGAAAATACCCTGGCCTGGGTCAGATTCATCTTAGTCCTCAAAGTGACATCTTTGCTTTTCAACACTTTTAAGAGGTCTTTTGCAGCAGATATACCCAATGCACTACGTCGTTTGATTTCTTGACTGCTGCTTTCATGGACATTTGGATTTGGATCCAATCCAAAGATAGACAATTTCAATCTTTTCTCCGTTTATCATGATGTTGCTTATTGGTCCAGTTGTGAGAATTTTTGTTTTGAGGTATAATCCATACTATAGTCTTTGATCTTTATCAGTAAGTGCTTCAAATCCTCTTCACTTTCAGCAAGGTTGTGTCATCTGTGCATCACAGGTTGATTGAGTCTTCCTTCAATCCTGATGCCACATTCTTCATACAGTCCAGCTTCTTGGATTATTTGCTAAGCATATAGATTAAGTATGGTGAAAGGATACAACCCTGATGCACCCCTTTCCTGATTTTAAACACTATCCCCTTGTTCTGTTCGAAATACTGCCTCTTGGTCTATGCACAGGTTCCACATGAGCACAATGAAGTGTTCTGGAATTCCCATTCTTTGCAATGTTATCCACAATTAGTCATGACCCACACAGTCAAATGCCTTTGCATAGTCAATAAAACACAGGTAAACATCTTTCTGCTATTCTCTGCTTTCAGGCAAGATCCATATGACATCAGCAATGATACCCCTTGTTCCACGTCCATTTCTGAAATCTGTCTTGAACTGCTTGCAGTTCCCTGTTGATGTTTTTGAATTATCTTCAGCAAAATTTTACTTGCATGTGGTATTAGTATTGTTAAAAGTTATATACATATGTACAGTTTAATAACCACAGAGATGAGAAAAAGACAATACATCCATGTAAGAACAGGTTGCTATTTGTAACACAGATGGGGGTTTGGGACTACTAGAAATTAGAGACAAATTGCATTTAAAACATTTTTTAAAAGGCTAAAAGTTGTATAAATGTCCTAAAAAAGCAGATCAAAGAGACTGGGGTGAAAAAAAGATGTCCAGGCCTTGCACCCAAATAACAGGAATTCCCGAGAACAGGAAGATTAGTATGGTCAGGAAGGAATGGGGGGATTATTCAGTAACATTCCCCAGAATTGAAAAGCAAGTTTACAGGACAGGATCCTCTGATGCCCAGCACAATGGATGAAATAAACCCAACCAAAGTCATAAAATTTCAGAACACTGGCAATAAACAGAAAACCTTAAGGGATTTCAGCGCAAAAAGATTTCATACGAAATATCAAGAACCAGAATAACA